ATGGTTGCCCTGTGAGTGAGGAGGTAGTTCACTTCCAAGGTGACCATCCTGACAATCCTGGGGGACCCACAGTCTGGCTGCATTCCCCAGGGCCCTCCTGTCTCCCCTCTGCTCTCCTCCTCCCTGGCCACCTTGCAGGGTGCAGAGGAGTGGGCCCCTGGGGAGGAAGACCATGGGGAAGGGGTGTGGACAGGGGAGAGTGCTGTAAACCTGCAGGCCTGGGGACTTGGGGACCTCCCTAGCACCCTGTCTCTGATGGCTGCTTTCTCCTCCTTTCCAGATGAGCTGCCATATCTCAAGTGCCCTCTGCACACAGTGCTCAAACTCACACCTGTGGCTTATGGTGAGAGCCCCCACCTTCATCTGGGGAAAGGCACATAAAGGCCATGAGCATGCCTCCATTTGCCCAGTAGAGTCCTGGGGGCAGTTCCTTGGGTGGATATTTGGATGTCCTGGTAGAGGAGGGACTGGTGGTGGCAGGATAAGAATGGGGGGAAACTGGGACGGCCTCTAAACTGAAACCTAGCCCCAACTTTCTCTGCCTCTCCCTGTGCACTGAGCATAGAACACCAAGCTATAGCGGTGGGGTGGGGGGAGGTGTCTCCAAAGGGGACAAGAGGAACAAGTAAGTGTATGCTGGAGTCAAACTGAAGAAAGGGCTCAAAGGCTAGCCTAGGCAATCTAGACTCTCTCTTGGGGCATTAGTTAGCTGTGAAATGTTCATGAGCAGGGAAGAGACAGACTCAAATCTTTTCTGGACTGTGAACAGGCAGTTGGTGTACTGAAGCCTAGGGTAGACTGCAATCCAGAGATGGAGCTAAGGGGGTTTCCACAGGCATTGGGCCTCCTCTGCCAGCCCCAGGCCCTGGTGATACCACCATCCTCCTTCTTCAAGCTCCCCCAAACTCCCTGTGACCTTCCATACCTCAGATGTTGCCATAACCATTGTCCTCTAAGTAAACTTTACCTGGAACTGATGGTCCCAAGGGAGTGGCCCCAGGACTCTTCCACCACTTCACCACCTGACACAGCTCAGAGGACCTGCAGAGCTCCATCATTATTGTATAGGTTAGATTGCTGCCTCACAGAACACAAACATTAGGGGAGGCCCCAGAGATCATCTCTTCTCATCTTCCCGTTGACAATTGGGCAACTGAGGCTCAGGGAACACTGGGACTATTTGGGGAAAAGCTGTGAGGCTGCCCCTTAGGCCTGGTGTCTTCCCACACATCACAGAGCTGGTCTAAATTCCCCTCCCTACAGGGAAGTCACAACTGCACACAGGTTGGAGCTGGGGATGTGGGTAGCAATGGGGGCTTTGGGGAATGACACCTCAGGGAAGACCTATGGGCTCCTTGTATGGACAATTTATTCTTTTTGAGGCTGCAAAGTGGAGTCCATCTACCTGAATGTGGAGGCTGTAAACACACATCGGGAGAAGCCTGAGGTAGGTGAGGACTCTGTGTCCTAAGCAGGAACATGGTGAAAGCACCCTCCCCCACTGAAAGGCCACTCCAGTGCCACAGACCTTGGGTGTTTCGCATCACCAAGTAGATAGCCAGCACCTAGAAATGCTGGAATCACGGCCCAGACTAAGGCATCATGGAGATGCAGGGCTAGAGCAAACCCTGTCAAAAAGGCCTCAGGCTGAAATTCCTCCAGGCTTTCCTGAGAAAAGGATCAGGATCCAGGCCTGGCTGAAGAAGGAGAGCCTGGTAGTGAGGACAACAGACAGGGGAGGGGCTGCGGGCTCCACACTGCTGTCTTCTTCCTATTAATCATGGGCTTTCTTCTCTCAGAATGTGGACATCACCCGAGAACCTGAGGAAGCCCTGGACACCGTCCCTGCCCACTACTGAGCCCTTTCCAGGAGGTCAAACTACCTCTTTCCTGACTGTCTTCCACCTTTAGGAGCTTCTATCCTTGCTCTTCTACACTGAGAAGACTCTGGATTTGGCCTCACTGGGAGAGCCCTGCTTCCAGGGAAGAAGCCCTCAACCGTTCCAAAACAGGTGTCATTAGATTTCTAGCTACAACCAAGGAGCTGTCTAGCTCTGGACAAAACTTTTTTTCTTTATTTTTATTCCCTGATCAATGAAAACTTCTGCCTCTAAGAGAAGAGAGATGGTCATTGTGAGGCATCTCCCACAGGATCTTAAGATATTGACCCTGTGAAGTGGCTCTGGCACTGTGGGGGTGTGGAATGGCTGAGAGCTTCCTGGAGAAAAGACTTCTGGAGTAGCACCTCCAAAAGTGAGGGAGGAGATGGGTCTCTGTGATTGCCTATAGGCCTTTTTCTTTGGTGGACAGTGTGGCTGGACACAAGACACTATCATCCCTATACTCAGAGATGTACTTGGACCGCAGTGCTCCTCTCTTCTCCAACTCTTGCTGCCATTCTGAGTGTTGTCACTGTCCATATAAGTAATCCAAACAATACCCTGGCCTTCCAGTCCCCGTCAACTCCACTCATCACCCACTCCATGGACAATGGCATCATGTAGACTTCTCCCCAGTCTGACTTCTTAAATACAAGCATCCCACTATCTGGCCACTGACCCCTAGTCCTTACAACTTTCTGTGTCATGCACAGGATCCGTAGCAGCACGTCTCCTGCAGAGTAGGCACATACATGTAGTATTTCTGGGCAGGTACCAGCAACCCAGTGCTGAAAAGACAAACTCATACACTACTTTCTGGTACTCTATCCCATCCCACCTTCTCAGGGATGGCCTACTTCAGTCAATTCCTGACTATTCCTTTTCTATCTCCTGTCCTTTTCTATTGGGTTTTGCCCCCATGGTCTATGCAACATGGTCAGGTCTCTCTCCTATCCTAATAAAACCCTCTCTTATTCCTGTGTTCCCCTCTAGTTACCTCCCTCTTTGTCCCTCCATTCTTACACAAACATCTCAAAAATGAATCTATAATTACCGTCCAGAACCTTCTCCCTCTGCATTCTGTTCCAGGCTTTCCCCCTCCTATCTTTGTTCAAGCTATTATCCCTTTGCCTTCCATGCTTTCTCTAGGTCTCTATCCCACTGAAGTCATGCTTTCTTTTTTTTTTAATAAGCTTTATCTTTATTGTTGAAAGTGTTACAGATGTCCCCTCCTTTTCTCCCCATTGGCCCTCTCCACCCTGCTCCCGCCCCCACAGGCCTTCCCCACACTATCATTTGTCCATGGGCTATGCATATAAGTTCTTTGATTAACCTCTTCCCACCCTCCCCTCTTCCCTCTGAGAGTCATCAGTCTTTTGCATGCTTCAATGTCTCTGTATCTGTTTTGTTCATCAGTTTGTTCTTTAGATTCCACATGAGTGAGATCATGTGATACTTGTCTTTCTCTGACTGGCTTATTTCACTAAGCATAATACTCTCCAGGTCCCTCCATGCTGTCTCAAAGGGTAAAGGATCCTTCTTTTTTAATAGCTGCATAGTATTCCATGGTGTAAATGTCCCACAGCTTTTTTATCCACTCATCTACTGATGGATACCTGGGCTGTTTCCAGATCTTAGCTATTGTAAATTGCGCTGCTATGCATATAGGGGTGCATATATTCTTTCTAAATGGTGTTTTAAGTTTCTTAGGATATATTCCTAAAAGTGGGATCACTGGGTCAAATGGCAGTTCCATTTTTAATTTTTTGAGGAACCTCCATACTGTTTCCCATAGTGGCTGCCCCAGTCTGCATTCCCNTGTAGTGGCTGCACCAGTCTGCACTCTCACCAGCAGTGTACTAGCCTAAAACTAAACTCCACCTTCCCCAAAGAGCTATGTTGATCTCTAGCTCTTCTATGAACCCAAAATGTCACTCACAACAACCTAAATACAATAAAAGAAAGAAAAAAAACTCCAATTCATTTTGCAAATTTTAATGTAACTCTGATACCAAAATACGACAGCACACAGAAAGCAAACAATAAAGCAGGATTGCCAACCAGATTTTTCATAGCATGTCAACCTCAGCTGATTGGTAGCACTGCTTAGACTGCTGGGTGGACAAATATTCCAAGGATGTACCTTGGCTCCATGGGAAGGAAGGACTGCTGCAACTCATTAGTGGTATCCGTAAATATGGGAAATAAACCTGAAAACAAAACACCAAAAAGGAACATATTTTAGCACCAAATACACTGTTTTCTTATACTTCCTCCATTGTCTTCATCTTCCCACCCTGCCCTCCCACCTCGGGGTTTCTTATAACATCTCCCAGCACTTATATCCATAAGTGGGCTTTGGCTGTGGAAATGCTGTAATTACCTGAAACCTCACTAGCCATAGGAGAAGCTACAGGCACCAAGGCTGGTGGCTCCACCACCAAAGGTAGCACCGTTGCTCGGTCCACCGCTGAAGCCAGCACCGGTGTTCAGTCCACTGCCGAAGCCAACGATAGAACTGGGTCCACCATTGAAGCCAATGCCGGTGCTGGGTTCGCCAGTAAAGCCAATGCTGGTGTTGGAACCACTGCCAAAGCCAATGATGGTACTCAGTCCTCCGTCGAAGCTGGTATTAGGCCCACCACCAAAGCCATCACTGATGTTGAGGCTACCACTAAAGCCAGCACTGGTGCCAAGTGTGCTGCCAAAACCAGCATTGGTGCCCAATCCACCACCAAAGCCATCGCTGGAGATCAGTCCGCCACCAAAGCCAGCACTGGAGCTCAGTCCATCACTGAAGCCAGCACTGGTGCCTAGTCCACCATTGAAGCTAGTGCTGGTGCTCAGTCCGCCACCAAATCCAGTGCCGGTACTTAACCCATTGCCAAAGTTAAAGCCCACACTGGTACTAAGCCCATTACCAAAACTGGCACTAGTAGCTCCACTAAAGCAGGTGCTGGTGCTAGGAGGGCCACCAAAACATAGGTTGGTATTAGACACATTACCAAAGCAGAGGCTGGTGCTGGGATCTCCACCAAAGCCAATGCTGGTGCTGGGAGCACTTGCATAGTCAGTAGTGGTGCTAAGTGCCCCAGTGAAGTCAGCACTAGTGCTGAACATACCGCCAAAGCCAGAGTTGGTGATGGGTGCACCACTAAAGCCGGTGCTGCTGCTGACAGCACTGCTGAAACCAGCACCGGTGTTGAGGGCACCACCAAAGCCAAGACTGGTGCTGATTGCACCACCAAAGCTGGCACTAGTATTGGAAGAGCCACTGAAGCAGATGCTGGTGCTCAGTGTACCACCAAAGTCAGCGATGGTGCTAGAAGAGCCACTGAAGGAGACACTGGTGCTGAGTATGCTATCAAACCCAGTGCTGGTGCTAGGAGAGCCACCGAAGTAGATACTAGTACTGAGTGTGCCACCAAAGCTGGCACCAGAGCTGGGAGAGCCACCAAAGCAGACACTAGTACTGAGTGTGCCACCAAAGCCAGTGCTGGTGCTAAGTGCACCGCTAAAGACTGCACTGGTGCTGGGTGCACTGCCAAAGCTGGTGCTGGTAATAAGCGCACCACTGAAGCCTGCAGTGGTGCTGAGTGTGCCTCCAAAGCCAGAGCCGGCTCCACCACTGAAACTGGTACTGGTGATGAGTGGGCCACTGAAACTAGAGCTGACCCCACCACCGAAGCTGGCACTGGTACAAGGTGTGCCATCAAAGCTAACACTGGTTACACTGTTGAAGCTGGCACTGGTGCTGGGTGTGCCACCAAAGCTAATGCCAGTTCTGCCACCAAAGCCACCACTGGGACTGGGTGCACCACTGAAGCTAATACTAGCACCATTGGTGCTAGCTCCTCTGCTGAAGTCGATGTTGGTGCTGGCATCTGCATTTTCTTGGGCTCTGGCCTCAATTTCAAATGAAAATCTGCTCCAGGCCTGAGCATCATCGCCTAACTCTTCCCTTGTTAGGCAGTCGATATCCATGTCATCCCAATTCCAGGGCCCAGCCACAGCTTCCTCTCCAATTCCCATTTGGGCTCTTGCCTCAGCCCTGGCCTCAGCCTCAGCCACAGCCACTGCTGCAGCCTGAACTTCCATCTCCACTGCCTCCCGGTACTGAGCAGCCCAGTCCTTGAGGTCTTTCTTCTGCACCTGAAATGGGAATGATGATCATTAAAAGGAAAATAGCATTATAATCATGTATTAAGTACATATTATGGGCTTTGTATAAAGCCAATAGTAGTATTTTTTTTAAGTTCTTAGCTACTGAGCCTCTATCATTGGTCAGTCTTAAGATCCAATTTCAGCTGTAATAACTTAGGTGCTGTGTGACCTTGGATAAGTTACTTAACCTCACTGAGCCCAAGTGTCTTCATCTGTAATATGGGAAATGATAAGAGAGTAAATATGTTATGGATTAAATGCTGTGCCCCCCCCCCCCAAAATTCATATGTTGAAGCACCAACCCCCAATGTGATTATATTTAGAAATAGGACTTTTATGGAGGTAAAGTTAAATGAAGTCATAATGGAAGGGCTCTGATCCACTAGGATTAGTGTCCCCCATGAGAAGAGGCTCTCTCTCCACCAGTGAAGACATAGTAAGAAGGCATCCATCTGCCAGCCAGGAAAAGAGTCCTCACCAGAAACTAACACTACTGGACCTTGATCTGGGACTTCTAGCCTCCAGGACTATGAGAAAATAAATTTCTGTCGTTTAAGCCACCCAGTCAATGGTATTTTGTTATAGCATTCTCAGCATACTAATACAAAATATGAAGAATGAATGAAACAATGTAACAATATAAACTTTGCGTTGAGCAGCATCCTAGGACAAAATGAAGTTCCATATGTTTACATATGAACTGCAGGCTGCCCTGTACCTGCCCATCCCTGCACACAGCCTGCCCCAATCAGGGGCAACCCGTACCCTTAATATGCCAAGTCAGGGCAGGTCTCCTATTACCTTGCAGGCAAACTTGAGGACTTTCATCTTGCTAGTCTCATGGTAGGAGCGCAAGCCCCAGAAGAACTCATATTCAGGTGGTCTGCTGTTGGGGACCCTCTTGTACTCCAGGTACCTTGGAGAAAGGAAATGAAACTTGCTTCTAAACAAACAAATCTGTTGTCTAACCACTAGGACCAGGTGGCAACCTCCTTCAAACACATACTAAACTCAGCTCCTGGAGAAGGTTTCCAAGACCATCCTTCCCCAGACTCACACCCAAACACAGTTCACTGTCTTGACCTCCAACATTAAGCCATTTCCCATTGGCTCTGTGCAAAGAAGTCACATGGTGCTGCAGGGGAGGCATGTGTAGGGTATGATGTCACAAGAAGGCCAAAGTATCCTGCCACCTGTGAGGAGTAAACCCAAGTTCCTGTTGGGTGTGTTGTAAACAGAGGAGCCATTCTTCAGACACCCTGCTCTGAGCACACCCCATAATAAGGGCCTCTCGTTTAATCTGGTCCAGCCTTGGAATGGTCCACCCGTGGGAATTGTAGACAAGACTCAGATTTAGGGCACAGAATGCTGATACCTCTAAAGCTAGTGTAAGAAAAGGGCTAATCAAGTCTTTCTGAACCAGACCAGCATACCCAGAACACTTTGGGGCCTCATAAGGCCCCCAAACACCACTTACTTCTGCTTCACAAACTCCTCTGTGATGAGTTTCCTCACTTCCCCAAAGAGCGAGTGCCTCACCCTGACAATGGGAAAAATAACCCATGAACAGAAATCAGAACTTCTCAGATGAGAGCAGAGGCATTCCCCAACATGAAAGAGACCTTTCTAGCACATGTGGCCATCTTAATGAAACCAGAAAAGTAGTAAACACATAGATGACCACTAGAAGTAGGCAGTTGAGACCAAATGGTTCTTTGTCAGGGATACCGTGAAGATCTATCTTATATCTCATCTTAGAACAGATAAGGGGCATAGAGGAGAGAGGGAGCAGGGAGCTCAGGACCATTTCCCCATCCACCCAGGTCAGAGCCATGGGCCCTCTACCCAGTCCAGCACCCCAGCCCACTCCACCAGACCACCAGGCTGATGCAATCCTGGGACCATCCTCTCTTGCCAAAGGACAACACGGACAGCAAGCACTGAGAGAGCCCAATCATACCCAGGGCGCAGCCCCAACTTGCGCAGCACCTCCCAGATGACAGCTGCAAGGGGAGGCAAGAGGAGACAGGGACAGCAAGTGAACATGTGGAATTCTGACCATGGTCACCCATT